TTTGAAAATGGTCAAATATTAATAAAAAAAAAATGTTTTTTATATATATATATATATATATATATATAAAACAATCTAATAATATATAATATACATACTTTAATCAGGTTTGAAATTTGCTGTTTATTATATATATTATACACACGTATAAAGATGTTTTTTATTTTTTTATATTACTAATAATACATAATATGCATTTTTTGAAAATAGCAGTTTTATAGCAGTTTTATTTTTAGAAAATGGCAGTTTATTGAATGAATGAATTAATGTGCAGTTTATTCTGGCCAAGAACTATATATACATGCATTCTTAATAATATATTAATTATTTATATTAATTATAATATACATGCAAGCATACTTTTAATAAATTAACCACACAAGAACGGCATAACCGGGTCAGTCTTTAACATTCAAACATGTATTAAAATGCACTAAATTCGACCATTTTCCTTGAATTATCCAGACCAAGTTGATCCAAACCCCATAGTACATGGTTTAATGTTTCTATCTTTACCCAAAATCATGTCATTAAATATAAAATTGATCAAATTCATTTTATAGCTGATTTTTCACGGCTTTGGTAACTCTGTTAAATGTCTCGAGTTTGGTGTGCTTGTAGTTTGAGGTGTTGGTTTGGGTTGATGAAGTCCTGTAACGGCCGCAGGACAGTCATGCACCAGTCCTTTGACTGTACTTGCCCTTTTATTTGGATGCCATTGTCCTATTTTTTAATGCAACAGTTCTTGGCCCATGAGCACGACTCCACCTGCATGTCTAATGCAAAAGCCTTCTTATTTTTATTTATATTAATAATTGTTCCTTTTTCCCATGGTGCCATTACTCTGAGTTTTGGTCTGTTGTACAAGATCAAGCAGCAAAAGCTTTGAAAGATTATTTAAGGTTAATCAGATATATGGTTTTTGGCATCTTCTGCATTACGCCCACATTTTAACATTCATTTTTCTTGGCATAGATCGGCAAGGCTTAGTTTTATTGTTCTGAGAAACTGGAGGTGGAATATAGTGTCCGGATAAGTCACGAAATCAAGTTTCGATTAGTCCGGAAAAGTGGAGAGTGTTGCTTGTTAAAATTCATAAGCTGTTTATTTCATAAACATGGTGATCACTTAAGCGTTCCTTATGCATACTGTTCAAAAGTTTGAATTTAATACTTTGATTTAGCAAAGGTGCATTAAATTGATCAAAAGTGACAGTAAAGACATTTAATGTTACTAAAGTTTCACATTTTCAAACAAGGAAGTTTTAAAAATTTCAAATAAATGCTGTTCTTTGGAACTCTCTATTCATCAAAGAATCCTGAAAAATACAATGTATCAAAGTTTCCACAAAAATATGAAGCAGCACAACTGTTTTCAACATTGATAATAATCAGAAATGTTTCTGGAGCAGCAAACAGATTTCTGAAGGATCATGTGACACTGAAGACTGGAGTAATGATGCTGAAAATTCAGCTGCGCATCACAGGAATAAATTATATTTTAACAGACATTCACTTAGAAAAATGCTATTTAAAACTGTAATAATATTTCACAGTTTTTACTGTATTTTTGATCAAATAAATGCAGCTTTGGTGAGCAGTTCTTTCCAATAATGTTAAAAAAGCTTACAACCCTAAATGTTGACAAAATTTACATTAAAATAAGCTTTAACAGAAGATATTGCACATTTTATTTAATGCGTTTGACCATCCTGATAAACTATAGGAATGTTTACTGTTGGTATAAAATGTTTTACAATTATTATTTCCACCTTTTATGAATAAATGCCGTTGTTATGGTTACTGTTTGGTGTTCTGGACTGAAAAACACGCGCTTGTCCTCTGGTTCATCAGGTTTGTGTAGGAGTCGAAAGGACAAAAGCTTTTGAAAGCAAACAGGTAAAACACACTTCCACACCACACGTTCATTTCTAGAGCTTCCATTCATAGCGAACACATACCTCAGAGCAGGTTCTCACCGCATACGCACAAACAAAACCACAAGAATGCCAAACCGGCTGGATGGAGCACAATGACGATTGAGCCACTGACCGGAACTCTTCCTGGCACCTTCTTCTCTGTGACGTCTGGCACAGAGTGTGGGATTTCTGCATAGAAAAGAGAAAGAAAGAGACCTCTTATTAGCTCGTATGGTAACTACATCCATATGACATACATAAAGTGAGGTCCAAAAGTCTAGGACCACTTTTTGTATTTAATATATGGTAAAAATAAATAAATAAGACAGAAATATTTCAGATTCTGTTCCATTTTTATGACTTTTTGTGCAGATGGTCAGATTTTCTGATGCTTTCTTTGGATCGAAAAACATGCTGGAGAACATGATCATCAGGTCACTGAAGCAAACGACAAACACTAAATTCAACTTTTCACTCATAATTTGTATGAATATTAAAATTAATTAAATGTTTTGCATAAATAAGTTATTTAATTGATGCTTAAAACAAGATTTAATAATAATAATAAAATAACGATAAATTAAGATTTCTTCACTATTTTTTGTTATATACATACATACATATACATACAGTTATGGTTAAAAGTTTACATACACCTTGCATAATCTGCAAAATGTTAATTATTTTACCAAAATAAAAGGGATCATATAAAATTAATGTTATTGTTTATTTAGTACCGACCTGAATAAGATATTTCACATAAAAGATGTTTACATACTGTGTAGTCCACACGAGTAAATAAAAAATGACCCCGTTCAAAAGTTTACATACACTTGATTCTTAATACTGTGTTACCTGAATGAATTATTTTACCAAAATAAGAGGGATCATACAAAATGCATGTTATTGTTTTTTTAGTACTGACCTGAATAAGATATTTCACATAAAATACACACACACACACAGAATTGAAAACATTTTTTAAATTAATAATAACTCTTTTTTTTTTTTTAAGCATAAACCTCAGAAAATATCTTAGCAAATCGAGGGAACGAAGTAGTAAATCGTGCACACACTTTTGCCTATTATTTTTTTCCTGCATGCCATGTGCGGGGCTCCGTACATAATCACTGCTATTTGAAAATGGTCAAATATTAATAAAAAAAAAATGTTTTTTATATATATATATATATATATATATATAAACATTTGAAATTGGGTAAGATATATTCAACTTTCAAATAAACAAATAAATAACATTTTTCGCTGGTACTATTTGTAGACAACATTGTATTACATTAAAAATGCAGAACATAAATATTTTCACTAGTGGTCTCAGACTGTTGGGCCCCTCGCTGTCACATTCACATTTGTTATAGTAGTACTTAGTTTCCAAAACAGGTGCATTTAGTCTAAAAGTCTTACTGCACAACTCTCTTGCAGTTTAATTTCATTTCCGCCGCTCATGAAAGGTAAATAGGGCCGCGGCGTGTGTACGTGTCAGCGGGGTTGAATATGATCAACCCACGGGGTAATAAAGCGTCCTGTGAATGAGTTTTACTGACTGTAATTTCATCCTATTATGAAACTGGAACAGATTAGCATGGTTTCAGCAGGTCGGTCATTGTGGCGTTTCATCGGGTCACACAAAGCATCGTCGCACGGAACCCCCGTGTTCTGTTTCAACACGGAATCCCGTCGCCTAGCAACGCGGTGCTGAGCGAGGGAAGCCCTGGTTACGCGATCGAGCGCGTGACGTCAAACGCCAGCTATTCACTCGCGGGGCGTGGAGATAAAACTCAAGGAATTCTTTCACCTGCATTGCAAAAGATAAGCAGCTAACGAGTCGGTGAAAATCCAGTCGACGGAGCACCGGAAGAAAAGCATCCTTACTTAAAAGTGTGTGTGAATGGTGCAGGACGCAATCAAGCAGGCGAGCTTACCCTCTAATTTACAGCGACGCGCGAGGATTTCGCGGGAGGCCGCAGGGAAACAATGCAAACTCGCCGAAATTAGCTTTAATTATTGGCCTGAAACTCAGAGCTGTAAATTGCAGGTGGTAAAGCTAATGTGACAGAGGCTGCATCAGAAAAATCCTCTCGGTAACATAAACCGGTTTCTGCA